AAATCCAGCACTGTCAATGGGCTGTCGAGTGGGTGGGTTGGGGGTTGGAAAAGGAGCTATGCATTGAAGGCAATAGCTTGGATGCATGAGCGCCATTGAGGGCGCAACTGGGCCATGTCTGACAATGTCACTAGCCATTGATGTGGTTCGTCTCGGGGTCCCCATCCAGGAAGACGGCAGTGATCAGCGCAGCTGAGTTTTCTGGTAATGGCTTTCATACTTCACTGCCAAGTCATGGTTTGACCACCTCTGACTCTCTCCCACCCTTCGCGTGGTTGTGAAAAAAGAGTCCTTCGAGGAAGTCGGTCGACTGACATACGCAGCACGTGGCCAAGCCAGCGCAACCTATGTAGTGTGATCAGTTCATCTATCGAGGGTGAATTATTTCTCCCGAATACCATTCGATGTACTTCGGGATTGCTGATCCGGTGTTCCCACCAGATTCGGGCAATGCTCCGAAGACATCGATGGTCAGACAGTGAAAGTCTTTTGACGTCCTCAGCGCGCAGCGGCCAGGCTTCTGTTTACGACATTAACCGAATGTACAGCGGAACTACCGACATTCAAAATACACAGATGTTGTGTCTTGTGTATAATACAAAGAGATTACTCAAAATCCACGATCAAACCACTAACGCACCAATTTCACCCATGAACAACATCTTGGCACTTTAGATGTCGACCCAACACAGTATCCGGATGGCCTTCAAACTACGGATTCCGTAAAGAGGTATTATATATACGCGAGTGAAACAAAACCACGTATCAGGGAACCAGCCCGCTGATCATGTACTTCATACTAAGAATAGAAAATAGCTAGTGACACTACTCCAGGTTTTGCGAGTGCTTCAGGTTGAAACACTATATTACTGTCATTTAAAATACTACTTGCTATTGTCACCGATCTAACACAGACACACATATACGTACTTGAAACTGATAGTATCTTCCTCTATTCATGTCAAACAAAGATTCTGAAACAACATTCCTGCTCGAAGTGCCGCCTGAAAGTGTCTTTTCCTTTATACATTACCTTCAGCGATCACAATAAGCACATGTTTCCACGTAAGAACAAAAATGATCTTAGTAGAGAGCAAACCAAGGCGACTTTCTACCTAGCGCTTTGCGACCCCGTGAAGGCGATTCTGCTACGAATATGCTTACTAGTCAAAAACTCTGAAAATTACTATAAAACTGCGTCTGTTTTGTACTAATCAGCAACCACGGCTACCTAAACATTTCCCTGCGGTCTGAATACAAGCACATGAAAAACAACTGATAATGCATTAGCTTACCCCACTCCTTTTTCTGGGCTAGAAGCTGTGTTGTGGTCCAGCGAATACCGCTCAGGAATGAAGCAAGCATTACCAAGAGGAAACCGATCATATTGAATTGTGCGGACTCATATGAAAACAGAATCAAGCCGCAGGAAATAAGAAACACCACCAAGACGAGTGACGCCCGCTGAAAATTGATAAACTCAATTATAAGTCAAGGCAGATACCTTTCTTTCCAAACGGAACAGGATGGAAAACATGAGAATGAAAACAATACTGGTTGATTTCGTCATGGTGTACCTGTAAGTGATTAATGGTCAATCGGCATTCGGACAGATTACTCACAAAGAAATGGTGATAAATTCAAAACTCCAATTAGAAAAACCGATGTCCAAAGCGCTTGATGTACCTAAACAAACAAAGCAGATGAATGGATTGGAAAAAATAGTTAAAAAAAGTGAGTTGTGCAAACCTATATGCAGTTTAGGCGTGTTTTCGAAGTGATTTTAGAGGGAACACGGCAACTGTGCTACCGAGTGTCTCCGCAACAAATGTTTTCTCGTGAAAACTTTGGTTACTCAACTTTCGCGGGAATTCTGCACGAAACCAGTAGAATTTAATTTCGATACGGGGGGTTACGTAGTTTTTGAGTTTGTGAATGCATGACGTGCTCCATCATCATCATCATCATCATCAAAGACAGCAACATCAGTGTTGGCACTGATGCTTCACTGCCGTACTTGTACGAGGGCTGGGATACTGCCAGGGCGCCCACACCTAGACAGGAGGACGATTAGGGTCGTCAACCAAAGCCTTTGGCTCAAAAGCCTAACCGCAAGGCAGCGGTGGTCCGCTGGAAATGCAAGTACATTACCATTTTTAAAGGAACACGTCGCCATACATGTTCCAACCCCCAATCTGGAGGGCCAGGAGACTGTGTTCGTTGGACCTCTACCCATGGACCAATCTGGTATGAGAGACTCTGTGAGCATCGTGTGGACACTCCCCAGTATAGCTCAATGGGTCGCCGAGGTACACAAACCGCCACACCACGGTAAGGTCCAGTCTCTTAGTGACGCGCTCCATCCGAACTGAATGTGTCACAGACCATTTTTCTCCATACTTCGGATTGCGACATGACGAGTGTAGTGCTTTGGACCTGCATAACGGTCCTCCAGCGTTTTTGTCCGACTACAATCAGATAAGTTTCGTGCCATCTAGATAAACTCATATAAGACTCATTTGGTAAACATAATCCTATTGTGCACTAACGCGCCCTTATATTCATCTTCATTACCGTAAATCCGTATTGCAACTGTAAGAAGCTCAAACGAATAGTGTTGTATGTGTATCCTGGGTCAAACTATTGGCCGCACCAAGCTCAGCCATAAAATATCCATGTGATCCGTCCGCATACCATACCGTCGTTGCTTACGACATCAACTGCCTGATAGTTGGTTAGTAAATATGGATCAATGAAATAGTAGATATTCATTGTAGTGTTTTTTCGTGGAGCATAAATCAGCTATCAACAAGCAGAAATATTTCGCTGACGCTTCTGAGGTGCACTTCCTTGAGAAAGGCACGTGACGAAAGTTTTCGTGCCAACAAAATGGTTTCGACGGGAGTATCTCATCTTGAGATTCTCAATGTGAAAGGAGTGCCGTCCATCTTGTATGCAGCCAACGGGTCACCTGACTATTATGTCTAGAAAAGACAACCGTGCACGAACCATAGATCTTAATAAGCACTAGCTTGCAAACTCAGGTTGCAGTTTGCCATTGATCTATTAGTTGGGCTGAGGAATTTTGTTGAAGACGTTTCACATCGTGTCTAGCTGTGTAGTGGTGCGGAGCGGTGTACATCACTTACACCTTTGAGCCACACAGTTGAACGAGATTTGAATTTGGTGTTGGGAATATGTCGGTATGAAAAGTCGGTACTATTCTAACTGTACAATCGACATCAGGTGATATATCTGTGGAAAAGTAGCTATCATATATATCGCAATGGTAAAGCTCTTTCCTGAAGAGACCATTACTAGTTAATCCTTTCAGGTGATCCCTCCTGAATAGCACAAGTGTACTCACTGGTGCTTACAACAATGGCCGTTTGTTTTCCTGACTTCGACGGTGTACTGAACTTGCGACTACCCCTACGCGCGCGCGCATAAACACATACTTTTCAGAGTCGGGTTGTTATCAAAACCAATTATTTGGAGTTGGATTTTATCAAAAATATATGGTCTGCGGTCTCCAACCCCGAAAATAAATCCAACATCAGACGCCCTGATAGCAGTCATGAGAAATAAACAAAGAAGGAACTGTAAGAGGCGTAGTAATTTATACCCGAAATGGCTTTTGTCGATGGCCTCGTTATCAGGTTTCCTAAGTTCACTAGTTGGCCTACGTTGTCCATGTAATACAAGATATTTTCTCATAACATATTCAAGTTATCCTGATTTTCGTGACCCGAGACTGGGTAGCACGAAACGAATTGCGTGTCGACAAGCCGATTCGTTGCAGTGAAAAAGCAACTTAGTCTGATCGAGAATTAAACTTCAATTTCAATTCAATTCAATTTATCACCTATAAACTATGGGCTATAGGCACATTGGTTCCAGCCGCTACAGTTTCGATCACCAGAAAACGGGAAAGTGGAATACAAAACCAAGTCTTGGAGGCGAAAGCATGCTCAGTTTGTTCGGAAGTTGGGTAGCTACGCATTGAAGGCAACAGCTTTGATGCACGAGAGCCATTGACTAAGCGAGTGAGTCCTTTCCGCCAGTGTCATTAACCACTGGTGATTTGAGTCCCGGGATTTCCATCCAGAGAAGGGGCAGTTGCCCACACGAATAAGTTTACTGGTTAGTGTTTTCGTAGTTCGTTGCCAGGTCATACACTTCCACCTCTCGGTCACTTCCACTTAGCACAGGGTTGGGAGAAAAGAGCTCTGTCAGGCAGACGGTCTTCTGGCATGCGGAGTACATGTCCTAACCAGGGTGACCCATGAAGCGTGAGTAATTCACCTATCGCAGGAGAGTTCTTCTTCCTAAGAACATCTGGCGCGCCTCAGCATTACTAATCCAATATTTCCCACCAAACCAGACCAATGCTTCGGAGGCACCGATGATCAAACGCTGGCATTTTCCGTAAGTCCTCTGCGCCTAGGGGCCACCTCTCTGATCCGTAAAACAGTGTGGATCGCACAACCGCGGTGTAAACTCTTCCCTTGACTGACAAGCTCACGTCACGTCGGCGTCATAGGTGTCGAAAGTTGGCAAAAGCTGCCGTGGCCTTTCCGATTCGAGAAACAATCTCATCTCCAGCCAGACCACCGGGACCCATACAACTACTCAGGTAAACAAATTTACATACCACGTCGATTGGCTCCCACCCAGTCTTGTAACAGTACTTTACATTTTGCAGGTGTGAAGCGCATGCCAAACGGTGCGGCGAAGTTATTTAGGTTTGCATTTAAATCGTTTGCATTTGGGAAGGATCTGAACCAAGGAGAGCAATATCGTCCGCATACTAAATGTCTGTGAGGGAACGTCCCTGGAGCATTTCGACTCCCGAGGTTCCAGGGGCAGGCAGAGAAATGTCAAACAGCATACAAATAACAAAGTTGAACAACAGAGGAGAAACAGGACAGCCTTGTCTTACATAGCTGATCGTGGTGAACTCAGGCGAGAGCTTCCCTTACACTCCTACGCGCCCACAGGAGTTCGCGTACAATGCCCTTACAAGGGAGAGAAATTAGGGACATACACTCATCTGCAAACTAATTTGGTTCTTTCGAGAGACTCACCTGGAACCCAGCTGGATCTCTTGTTTATGATGTTCTCAGGCAACTGAATGTGCTGCACCAGGCCGCCTCATGTTTCAGTCGATATTTGAAATATCGCGATACATGTATATATTTGTAATGTACTACTCATAAGGTTGCTGAGAACATCATAACCAAGAGATTCAGCTGGGTTCCAGGTGAGTCTCTCGAAAGAACCAAATTAGTTTGGAGATGAGTGCATATTCGCTAATTTCGTACAATTTGGTTTCAAGTAGAACATAAGGTTGACGAAAACCCGGGGACTGCGCCTACCTGAATGAGCCCCAGGAGGGCGAAACCGGTCGTGGGCTGTCGATGGATTTTCAGATACCTTATGAGTAGTACATTGCAACTATATATAGGAAGGGACACCTTTGACCGCCAGACACTGCCAAAGTTGCTGACGACCTACAGAATCGAAAGTAGTTTTCAAATCAAGAAAAACTACCAAAGTGGGACGTCTGAAGAAGTGGCGCTGTTCAAGAATTTGTCTCAAGGTAAAGATATGGTCGATTCATCCTCCACCAGGGTGAACCCCAGCTTGATTCTCACGAACCTGTCGCTCCTGATAATCCATCAATCTGCGCAAAGTAACGCCAGAGAACACCTTAGATGCGATGGATACCAGGCTGAAACAACGATGGTTTTCGCATGACATTCTTGCTCCCTTTTTGGAAACTGGTATGCTGGTCTACGAGCACCATTCGGCTGGTATTGTTTTCGTTCTAAATCCTCTGCAGTATGGTTGGCAGAATGTTCACCAGGACCTCGCCACCTTCTTTGAAGAGCTTGGGGTGTAGAAGATTCAGGCCAGGTGCCTTGTCGCGCTTGAAAATCTCGCGCTGATGGTGGGTTGGTGTCAATTTTCTCTTCGAGCCCGCTTGGTTCTTCCTATCGCAAAGAACAGTACGACTTTACCCCCAAACTGCCTCTGACTCGCTGTTCTTCGTCGGGCTGTTCCCCGTCGGCCTTCCTGGCATGGTTGAACCTTTGAGAACTGAGCTCCAGCCAGTATAGCCCGTAGGATCATTGCAGCACAGAAGCCCGACTACCACGACAAGGTAACAGCTTCGGGTCGGGAAATGGTCGGGGATTATAGAAGGAGTGACGCCATGACGATGAACAATTAATGCAACAGCAAAAATGGCACTACTAGCGAGAGCAATTTGCAGAGCAGCAAAGCGGATTTATTACCGAAGGGAACATACGTTTTCACTATCAAAACAAGATTACTCAGAAAACGCAACAATAAATTCCGCAACGCCTGTGGAAACAGTCACCACCTCGGATACTTTTATCGTTGGATGCGGCAAATCAGGTCAGAAGAGGAGCTGGAGACCACTCACCTATTGTCAGCGGGACCTTGCTCTAGCAGACAGTCAGCAAACTTGGCTGAAGAAAAGGAGTGCAACGGCACAAACCCATAACACCCAATGTAGTAACCGCCTCTAATTACGGGTGTATATGGTTGAACTGGTTACAACCAATAGTCAAGAATCTAATTATCGACCAACCTGTACACCTTCCGCACACATACACAATCAACACAGAAAAGCCTGCAGATATGCAGTCTTAACCACCCACAGAATGTAACCCTTACATGCATATCCTATTATTTTCAGGAAACGATTTAGCGGCCACGCTGACTAGTAAGTCCCACTCACTCTAGCTGGGGTTGGCAAGCTCATTAAGCAAACACAGACCTTATGATGCTTTCCAGCTGGCTCATCCGCTTCACACAAGAAGTGTTTTATCAGTTCACCAAACAGTCAAACCTCGGTCAGTCGATCTTCGCTAAGACAAACAGCGGCGCCAGGAACGGTGGAATCCATGTTGTTAAAAGTTGTATGGTAACGGCAGGAACAAGGTAGTGTGATTGGGCTCCTAGAGACAAACTGCAGAGCATCACCAGAAAAAAGCTAGAAGCTCAGTCACAGAAAACCTGAACGACTCCAGAGCAGTGGGCGAGCAGACCATGGAAAAGTATCCATCTACAATCAGACACATATATGACTTTTAAGATGTAAAAAACACTCGTCGTCAGCCGATGAAGCAAATCCACATTAAAGTGTGTGACAGTGGAATTTTACGCAATCCTACTTCACCTACTTCGCAGACTACAGGTAATCATTGAAACCAACCGACAGACTTCTAACCTACTGTCCACCTGTCGAAACCTTCAAGCAGGGACAAATTCCCAAGAGTCACACGTAGAGGTCGCGTTACAGACTTCACCGCGTGTAGTCTGCATCACTCAAACGTCGCCTTAACAGGTGGCATAATTACAAACTCAATTTCTGCCATCACTTTAGCCCAGAAAGATAGATGCGAACTGGGGGATCGATCGGTTCTGTGTTCGACCCTTATTTCTGACCTGAAAGTAGTGTTGATCATTGGTCGGTTCGTGGTTGGATGATCCTTGACCAGCATTTTTGTCCTCCTAATAGGCTGTAAGACAGTTGCTGCAAACTTCAATTGCATTTCTACTCAAAATGCAGGCCAGTGGAGTACATATGAACTACCTTTACGGGTATCAGTATCGAATTACGCGAACGACCAAATACTCCAGAAATTTCATTGGGGATTTCTTCCTTGTGTTGGGAAGCTTCGGTAAGGACCAAAGTTTCCCAGCATAATTCACTAGTTCGAATGCGTTTTTAACAAGGTCTTGGTTTCTTTCACTACTGTGCAGTGAAACACTGATTTCGCAGCATTCTGAATTTCAGACAGACCATGAAAATTCACCATCAAACTCAAATGAGTAGAATCGGATTCGACCAGCTTAGTAAGACTGTGAGGAAAAAATGTCCGTCTATGCACAGGAAACCTGTGGAATCCCGGATACGGGATTTAAGGAGTAGTATTACGATAGCGAAGTGAAAGCGAGTCCTTAAGCGCGGATTAATCCCCGGATGAACGCCGAACCGGGTTGAGAAATGGACTCACCCATGTGTCAGTCCACTATGAATGAAAATACAATGTACCAGCGCCATAATGCGCTACAAGTCAGGCACCTTGTAACAAAATAACAAAACCACTTATGACCTCATCATTACGAAATTCCGGACGGCAAATCCCATGAGGTTCAGAATTGACAAAAACATTATTTTGATCAACCGACACGGGGAACACCGAAAGTGAAGAGCAGGCGTGACAAAATTATATGGTAGCACCATGATGTTATTTTGCCCACAGATATTTAGACCATATAATCTAGCCGTTTCGATTTGGAACTCTCACAAGTCACTTGGACACGATTGTCGCTTTATTAACGCCTCTTCAAGGCACCCAATAACTACGTTTTGGGGTCATAGACGTTAGTTATACAATCATCTTTGGTGTGCCCAGAGGCATCTCAATCGGGTGGAGATCAGAAATGGACAGTGGTTAGCGCCATGGTAAGGGACCTATGACGGTTAGGGTGAATTAGAGCGAAGTAAAGACACAATTTCACAAGCGATCGCTGAATCTACCAGCGACTATTTCCAACTTGTCTGTCGGGCAGGTCTGCATAGCTTCTCATGTTTTGCATTGCTAAATAATAAGTACGACAATAAAAAACTTGAATTAGACACTGAACGATGCCAAGTACCATGTCAAGTACAAATTGTACTCTACCTGGGGAAAATGCGCAATACCAACTCACCTGCGATGGCAACCGTTTTCACATATTTAGACCAAGGCAATTCGAAACGCTGAGTCCGATTATACCAGCGACACCATTCACGAATAAGCCAAGCGAGTATAAACTTCGAGCACATATGTAAAAATGTTATTGACAGAGGATACGGAAATACCTGAAATTCATGTATAAGCTCAAGTATAACTATATCATCCGCTTACTTTAATGCAGCGATTGTTGAAGAACGTGAGCGAGATGGAGAAACAATAGAAAAGTAGCGTAAGTGGTATGGTTCTGACGAGCAACAAGACCGTCGGTTGTTTGCTAGAATGCATTGTGAGGCCGAAACGGGCGCGTGGGCAGTGCGGGTCACTTCTCGGACATGAATGACAGCTGAAGTAGGTTGAAAAAACAATAAGTGATGATGATTCAGCCTTGACCATTTTTCGGTGCAAAGCTACTGTAGGAGCCGAGGGCATGACGACTGATATAGCGCTAAGTTGCCTGAGCCTGTACAGTGATAGTCGAAAAGTTAGGATCGGGTTAAAAACACGGACCTTCAGATCGGTAGTTTTGCCTCCTAACCACTAAGTAATCTCAAGCTCAGGAATAGCTTAGAAGGGATAACAGGAAGCATGACGATAAGAAAGTAACTAGGACATGGACGTCCATTAGCTATTTGTCATGTGTCTTAACGAAATATGTGGTTGACTTGGTCTATACGTCGACGGTTACAAAGGCTCACTTCCAGCATCGCTGTAGGCTTTGGACTATTCAGAGCATAAAGACGGAGCTTAAATGACATAAATGGAAGTAGCCTATCAAATGAGCCAAACGGATCAACCAGGGCCTGCATTACTGATGAGCCATAACTAGAATGTTCTATAGATAGTCATGATTCCACCTGATGAGCATTGGAATCCACATCTAGAAACATTGCACGCTTAGAGTACCAAACTGGTTAGTGTACGAAGGCATTTTATTGGGGTTCTGGCCTGTACATCGATGGTCCGCAGTAAGTCTGAGTACTGTTGCAGGTTCAGTTATCTGATATATTCGAAGTTAAGACGGATCTGGTAAATCTACTCTATTCAACGACGCCAACCAAAACCATGTATCAACAGGTTCGCCACGAGGAGACTAGAGGTTACCGTGGTGTGGCGGTTTGTGGGACCCATGACCCATTGAGCGATACTGGGTAGTGTCCGGGCAACACTCAGAGTCTCTCATACCAGGTCGCTCAATGGTTATAAATCTGACCAAGTCTACTGGTCCTCCAGGTTGGGGGTTGAGCATGTGTGGCGACTTGTTCTATAAACATTGTAACGCATTTGCATTTCCTGTCAAACAGCTGCCTTGCGGTTAGGCTTTTTAGCCAAAGGCTTCGGTTGATGACCCTAGTTGTCCCCCTGTCTAAGTTTGGGCGCCCTGACAGTATCCCAGCCCACGTACAACCATGACACTTACAGCTAACAACACTCTTATGCCACATCGGCCGTAGCGTGGTGTCATCAGCCGGGTCGCCTTAGTTGCTGCATACAGCAGGGCGCGTAAGTAAAAACATGCTACTGCTGACGTCTCCCTTTTTATACTATCATGTTTTCCCTACCCTATCCCACCCAAAGTTGAATACTCTATCCACAGATCCCAGCAACAGGACTCACCGTTTCGCTCGCAGTGCATCACGTTCAGCTGCAACTTCTGCACGTCCGAGTTCAGTGACCATTCTAAACACTTCGAATTCTGTTTTCCACCGCCGAAAGCCTGTCTACTTAACCGCCTTTAATGTTTGCACACTGAAGCAAGCAGGACAATAAGTGGCCCTTGCTCGTCCGCCGGATTCCCTCTGTATTGCTATATGTTGTCCGTCAGAAAGAAGGATGTAGGACGCACGTGTCGTCGTCGAACTCACTGCCCCGTCGCTCTCATCCAGGGTCCGGCTGCGCATCTTTAGTGATGCAGAGGCCACTGCAGCCGGATATACTGGGGTGGGTATTGTATTGAGCGACTGGGCGGAAGCGTCTCTACTTGTCTGGATACCCGTTGATAGGCACCTCTACGCGTTCCGTTTGGCAAAGTCTGTGAGAAAATCTTGAGGAGGTGAGGCAATTGTTTTGTTGTGTCTGTTTACCACCCGACTAACTGTAGCTCTGAATCTGCCGATGATATTTTCTATGACGCTCCAGAAATAGAATAAAGGTGGACGAGGAAGAGACTTAGTGTTAGTTTACTACAATCATTCCGAAGCACCTACACCTCCAGACATTCACTCAGGCAATCTGGATAAAAACTGACAACAAGAACGTCACTGACATCGGTTGGCAGGCATATCTTGTAGTGCCTCTAACCAGGCACATTGAGGACCACGCGGTCCCCAACCTGGAAGGTGAGTAGCACCGACAGCACCCAAGCGTTTCGTGATCTCCTTCATACTCCTCTGCCAAGTGAAGGCTTGGTCACCTCTCTGTTTACGCCACTCTGAGTTGGGCATGGAAAATGGCACTCTCTTCGGCAAATGATGGTTCGGGATACGCAACACATATCCCAACCAACGCAGCTTCTGGTGCTGGAAACATTCTTCAATGGAAGTATCCTTTGCACGACCGAAAACTCGCTTTCTAACTGCCTCGTTACGAATACGCCGGCACTAACCCACACGAGCTATGGTCCTGAGACAACGATTGTCGAATACCTGAAGACGTCAGCGAAGTAATCAGGGACCAAGACGGCTTCCTGATATGCAGCAAAGCAGAACGTTTGGACCGCTGGACACAGTACTTCGAGAAGCAATTCAGCTGGCCATCTGCTACCTCCAATCCAGAAACCTGGCCTTCAATAGAAAGGTGGACCGTAAATATGGATTCGCCTTCAGTCTCAGAAGTGTCCGAAGGTATTTCTCTACTCAAGCGTCATCCTGCTGTTGGTCCTGACGACCTTACCACACGCTCTTTTCAAGGATGGTAGTGGATTCCTAATCCAGTGCCTGTCTAGCCCATTTGGGTCCATCTGGAGGGAGACCATCCCAGACAACCGGGGTGAATCGATAGTGGTGCCCACCTTCGAAAAGGGTACTTGCAGTGAATGTAGTAACCACAGGGGTGTTAGTTTGACTCCTGATGTGACGAGGCTTGTGGCGTCACTGATTCTCGCAAAACCTTGACTCGTGAGAATCAAGGGGAATTTCGAACGGGTAGAGGCTGCGTTAACCACATCTTCATACTCCGTCAGGTGTGAGAGCAACGCCACATGTACAAACGACCTACAATCTTCAAGGGTGCGTACAATTCTGTCGGTCGGTGAATACCGTCAACTGCATTTGTTCAACAGGTATTCCCCAGATGTTTATAAACATAATCCGATCCCTATATTCACATACTTCTGGGCGGGTGAGAATGCATGGTGAGCTCTCCAAAAGCCTCCCTACAAAAAGTGGTGTCCGACAAGGATGTCCACCCCCTCCATTCTTGTTTAACTTCGTCAATGAGGCGAACGACGGAAGGTCTTAAAAATCCTGCGTTCAAATCGCTGCCGGCAACAACGTTGTCGATCTAGAGTATGCGGACGACATCGCCCTCACCCTTGAAGACCAAAGCGAAGCACAAACACTGTTGAATAGACTGACCACCGTCATACCATCTTTTGGCATGCAACTCGCACCTTCAAAGTGCAGAGTTATGCTTCAGAAAGTGCACTCTCTGAACATTTCCATCACAATTCAAGAAGGATCACTAGATGTTGTGGAAAACTTTACATACTTCGGCAGTTGCATTACCTCTGACGGAAATCTGTTTGATAAAGTCAGTGCACGAATTCCAAAGGCCAGAATCAAGTTTGCTAAGCTGCGTTACTTGTGGCGTCAAAAAGGCATATCACTGGGCCTTAAGGGTCGCGTGTACCAAGCTATAGTAAGGACTGTAGTTGTATGAGTGCGAGACGTGGCCTATACGGACAAATGATGTGAGGCATTTCCGGGTTTTTGACCACCGAGGTCTCAGAAACGTTGCGGGTTTTGGATGGCGTCAGAGGAGAAGTAGCAAGGTAGTTAGAAAACGGGTGCTTGGTTGTACAGCAGGTACCTCAATCGCGGAGAACATCCAGAAACATCAAGGGTGGTGGTGGCTCAATCATATGCTATGCATATCGAAACACCGTCTGCATATAGATCACATAAATATGAGAGTTCCTTTGAATCCCGTTCCCGTCCATTCGGCAGACATGTCCATTTTGACACGTTCCGAAAATTATACTCACGCTGTGTGCTTCAGAGCTACAAGCCAGAGAACGGGCAGGATATTGATCAGCTCCTAAGGCAACTAAAATCATTAGCCAAAGACTGTGGAGACGAAATCAGTAGCTACAACTGAATATCAAGATGAATGCGTACGGGATGCTATAGTTAATGACCTGGTGCCATCGTCCATCCACGAAAAACTTTCAGCACAGAGTTAAGCCACCCTGAAAAAGAGTACTAACTTGCTAAATCTCACGAGCTCGCTCACAAACAGCCGGAATCACATGTTAGTAGCGATTCCACTCGTTTCACAGAATCCTGAACTAATTTTCGATCCGACCAGTTCCTGTAACGTACGTCCAAACGTTATCTCTGTGGTTATGATAGACATTCTCGTTCGAATCGCCCCCCTCGAGAAGCCGCTTGTAACTTTGCGGTAACCTCGGTCACCGCCGCGTGTGCCGTTCAAAAGGTGCCACCAAGTTCCACACAAATTGTGCAATTAAGCCAACTTTGTCGTCGTTATTCGACGAAGCAGCGCCTACCTGCCTGATAACTGCAACCACAACTGTCGAACTCAACGGCACCGCTCTCCGTGCTCTGATCGATATAGAAAGCTCCTGTAGTTTCATTAACTCCTACCACTACACCCGTCACAACAGCCAATAAATCACTACCCTACCGGAAGACCGATCACCTCTGTGTTTCTGTCAGATACAGAGGTACATCATTCATTCAAGGATCCTGAAGAAAAATTAGCCCACATTGGCAGAGAATTTCTACTTGATGTTTCGCCGGCCACTTGACGAAGGCAATGTTCCATCTGTTTAGTAGTGATTGTCACACCAACAAGCAAAACTAATGGCCGAATGTTTATCGGGAGCTACAGGCATATTAGCCTCACTAGCGTACCGTGCAAAGTGATGGAACGCATTCTGAAGCGGGCTATCATAGATCACCTTCCTACCAACAATTTGATATCCCGATTTCAGCACTGATTTTCGCCCAACCGTTCCTGCGTGGCGAACAGGATCAAATTTATGCACAGGTTAACTCAAACTAAATGGGAAGGACTCAGGTCGGATGCAATATTCCTCGACTTTTAAAAACCATTCGATCTAGTCCCACATGCTACACTGCCCCGCAAACTTAAGTCTTACAGAATTCATGGGTAAATTCTATGCTAGATTAGGTCGTTCTTATCAGACAGAACATTCCGAGTGAAAGCAGACTAGACCTACTCTTCTACGGCGCGGGTCTCCACTGGAATTTCTCAAGGCTGTATTAGGTTCACTTCCATTTCCAATCTATGTCATCGACCTTCCATATCTCCTTCTTCCAGACTACTTGAAACTCTGGAGTTCTAATGCCAGTGCCAGTCGTTGGACTGACATCTTCCTCTGAATAACGAAAAGTGCGTCCATATGCCATTCGGAGGGGAGCCGGCGAACGCCTTTGTCATAAGTGGTGAGAATGGACCAGAAGACATTACAAGGATGGATGACAAAAAGGATTTGGGAATCTGGCTCTCTGGCATCATGAGAAATCGGCTCAAAAGGCATTTTCCATTCGACGGATGATTCGGCGCACATTTTCCATATTACTTTCATAGACTTTCAAACGCTCTATGGGGTCTACATCAGACCGCTTCTTGAACATGCCAAACAAGTTGTCTACTCAGGACTCAAGAAGGACATAACCTTCACCGAGCGTGTCCAACGAGCTAATACCAAAATGGTTGCCAGCCTTGAATCTGTGGACTACGAAACGCGTCTCCGGTGCTTGATCTCTTTCCTCTGGAGTGTAACACTTGCGAACTGCTATTTTTCATGCTCATTATCATCTTCCTTTTCCCTATCTATATCAGTCATATCACTGTGCAAAATTTTGCTTCACTGAAATACAATCGCTTCTTGGGTCCAACGTGACTTTGAGACTTTTGCTGAGTGACTGTTGTTGTGACTGCTGGTTGGCTGGAATTGGCTGCTACTAGCTCTAAACATGAACAAAAATTTTAGCTAGAAACACGACTAATCTATTCACACCTGTGGATTAATATTGCGATCACCGGAGATTTGGAATACCAGGAAGGTAGAAATTTTCTTCTTGGTGTGGTGGTTCAACGGAATGCGGAACTACGGAATCTCCTATTGTGAACTCTGAGTCAAGATTTGTTTGGATTTTTCTCCCTGTGACTTTGTATCTGACTTATTTGTAATTTGTTCTGTTCACTAGAGACCCCATAGGGCCGACTATGGGGAGGCCTAGTACTTACTTATGTCCTGTTTTGCACCATTGACCCAACCGACACGCGACGGGGATGTTAGGGAGCTTTTTATGCCCAGAGAGCGGGATCTTTGTTAGGCGACAATGTTTCCCATTTCGGGTAGTTGGTGCGTGCAATAACCTTCCCCCAACGGTTGTACAAACTGTTCTACTGCGGAGTCCGAAGCACTGTTAGACACTTATTTGTGCGAGTCCTCACGCTTTTAAGC